CACTCAGAATGTTTTTTCTCAATATGGGAAATTTTTTGTGGTGTTAAGGAAACTTTCCTGTCCAACCCTCCCAGAGCTATTCTGGCAGTCACTTGCATCACCTGAACTGGGACCAAGCCCTGGCAGCTCACATCCCACACTCAGACACAGCAGGTTTTTTACTGCTTCTACCCCAGGTTTTCCATAGCAGAGTCACGGATGTCCAGATCCCTAAGATAATTCAATCATGGTGCAACAGCTAAATAGCAAAGCAACAAAATAAGAGCTTGAGCTGGTGCCTCCAAAGAGGGACCCCAAACAAAGGATTCCCTGGGGTTTTATCCCTTCACAGCACAGGGAAAGTCTGAGGGTCCTCAGCAGCTGCAGCGTCTCTGAGTCTGGGTCCCCCCTCTGGGTCTCAGGTCCTTGGGCCCTTTTCTGCAAAGGGTCTTCAGTTCATGGCCTCTTGCTGTGAGCTTAGGCTCCTGCCCCTCCAGAGCTCAACCTGCAGTTCCACTGCAGCTGCACTTGAAGCTACTGAATGGATTCTTTAACAGATGGCACCTGTAAGTGGCACTGACATTGTTTCCCTCTCTGGCCAGAGGCACAGGGTGGCAGTCAGAAATGGTTCCTACATTTGAACCTTTTTACCATGTGTCTACTTCTTTCTGTAATCAGTCCCATAGTAGATTTAGGCTTTGGCAGTCATAGTTGGGTGTGGGTTTTCCTCTTTCGTTTGAGAGGCATTCAGAAATGTTAAGGGCAAATGGAATAATATCCCAGCCTTGTCTGACCTGCAAATGCCCAGCAAGGAATGCCTTCCAGCAGTTCTTGTTTGAGTTTGATCTCAGATGTTTTAAAGTTTCTGTTGGGTTGTGTTTTATCACCTTCCAGTGTCTGCGCCACTATGGTTCACACACACTTCTGAAGTGCAGGGCTCTTTGATCAAGAGCAGAGATTCTTAGGAGCTGGCACCATAGAGATTATAACAAAATTCACAGGACAGTGAGCCCAACCCCGCACTCCTGCCTACGGATTTCTGTGAGACCATCAGCTCACTGGACATGGGGCAGGGCAGAGGGACAGGAGAAGGACTCTTTCCAGTGGCACTTCATCATGAAGTCAGTCAATCAAAGTTGCATCCATTATATGGTAACAACACTGCATTTTAGCCACAAACTTCCGTGGAGCAGCAGAGCGTGAGAAGCCGTCCTTGACATGATTCTGTGCAGAGAAATGTATTCTGTGCCTTCCAAGAGCTGCTCTGCGATGGGAGCCATAATGTATTCCAGATCAACATCCTTGGGGAAAAGGAAAAAAACCATAAACCAGCAAACCATAGAAAACTTCACTAGTTTTGCACTCAAAGTTCAGAACAAAGCCTGCACAGAAATAGAGAAAATTGTTGAACATAAACTGAGCAGAGAGCAAATGCCCACCATCCATTGCAGCAGTGTCAAGGAATGGTGCCAGAAAGCCAGCATGTCTAGCAGAAGGGCAGGGAGGTTATTGTAAACAAAGCATTTTTTAAAAAGCTAGAGAAAATGGAAGAGGTTATAAACTCTTAACAGATTAAATATATGAACAGAGGGGTTTTTGAGAGATGATTTCCAAAGGGGAAAAAACCCAACTGTCCTGTTTCAGATCTGTCAAAATGGAACCTGGAAGGGAGGCTTATGGTTAGTCATAGCAGAAAAACTAAATATAATTTTTTCTGCTTGGCACAGAGCAACTCACAGAGAGCACTGTGCTGGAATGCTCTTTGTGGGGAGTCAGCGCAGACCCTGCCTTACCCTGCAGTGCCTGCTGCAGAGGCTCTACAAAAATAATATTTATACATTTGTAGCAGGTTGCCAGAAATAGAAATATCAACTCAGGAGTTTTAAATAAGTTTAAAGATTAAATAGTTGAGACGTTAAGTGGGAGGTTATGCTCCTCTCTTGAACCTGCCATGGTGACCAATGATTCATCTGTCAGACATTTTGTAAGACAGATCAGAATTCAGAGGAATTCTGGAAATTCACTGACCAGCTATATCAGATAGACTGATAAAATTAGCAGAGTACAGTGGATCAATGACACTGATAAATATTGGGAAAGGGTAATGTAAGTTTTTACATGGAAGAAGTCCTGCTCTGCGGAGTTGTTAGAATTCTTCATATGAATCAGTAGTGATATAAGTAAAGGTAATTCAGTCAATGCAGCCTACTTGGATTTCCAAGAGACAGGACCAAAAGGAGTCTTAAGACATATCTCTTAAGGGACATGCAGTCAGAAGAGAAGTCCACTGATGGATGAAATACTAAAAAACCCAGCATGTGTCTTCACAAGTTGAGGTCACTTGAGCACTCTGGAGATCTGTACTGGGATCTGTGCTGCTTAAATATTCTCTTTGGAGGTATGGAAAAAGTGATGGAAGGTGCAGTGACGAAACTTATCTGCCTTTGGGTAAATAAAGTGTGCTACACATTGAGTCAAACCTTCCTAGAGTGGAAAATGAAAGCATGGGCTCAGGGCTGATGATAACCTAGAGGCATAAGGCCATAACATTGCAGGGGATGAGTGACAATGTCAGCACAGGGCTTGTGGCTTTCAGCAAAATAAATCAATGTTTGTTCATCAGGAACAGACAACAAAGCAACTCCATTGTGCTGCTTTGTGCATCCACAACACGTGCCTGCATGCGTTCAGCATCCTGCCAGGCCTCTTGGCTCAGCAAAGACGGAGCTCCCCAGGGCAGTTTTGGGGGACCAGTGTGGTCAGGGCCCGCTGCTGTACCAGGGCTGGCTGGACAGTCGCAAGCGCGTCAGCCCAGAAAGGAGCATGTGAGGGTCACAAGCTGTTAGGGTATTGCTTCTGGGGAGTATGGAAATGGGCTCAGGTGCTCCCCAGCTTCCAAACCAAAGGCCAGGAGATGTCATGCAAAATCAGCAGATACGAGATGGGAATTACATAGTTCTTTACCCCACACATTAATAAGGTTCAGCTGCTCTGGTCACAGGGGAAGAGGCACAAGTATTTGGCAGTTGCAGCCCCATCCTCCAAAAGTTAAAGACCATACCTCCAGTTAAGGAAGTCTTACTGGACCTACAGATTGTTGGAAGCTGGGAAAGTTGTGGGAAACTCTTACAAGATGCAAGTGTTTGAGAACTTGTATCACTTCGTCCTTTTCCAGAAGCACAGGCTCCTGAAGTCCTCCCAGCAGGCTGCAGCTGCAGCTGGTCTCCATGCCTTCTGTTCTGCATCATTCCTGCAGAATGCTCTTCTCATTCCTGACCTCCAGGCACTGTTGGTGTTTGAAGCTGTGAATCCCAGGTGTGCTGGGTGGATCGATGCCCAGCCTCAGTGCTGTGTCTCAGCAGCAAGTGTGGCACGAGCAGTGCCTGCAGCTGCTGAGAGCCGGCTCTGGGAGCCACGCTGCCTCTGCTGCCTACCTCCTGTTTGCAGCAGGTGGGCTGCAGCTGCTGTTTATTTTTACCTGCTGTACAAAAAAAGGCAAAAGATAAAAATATCTTTTTTTTTTTTTTTTTTTCTGAAGAAAAACTACTGATAAAATTTTCAGTCCCTAAGTGAAAATTGAATTTTATCCAGTTCTTCAAAACACAACCTGTGGATCATGAGCTTCTCTTGCATTCTTCTCCCTTATTTTAAAGACTGCAGGTTTGCAAAAGTCTGGCTGTCTCCTGGCCACATGTTTTCCACCTGCCTTCTCATATCACTGCTTCCCTGCACTAGACCAGATAAGCATTCAGAGGTTAGCAGGAATTAGACACCTGCAAAGTAAAAAACCTTGAATCTCTTTTCAAACTGACACACTGATACAGTGACCTGAGCAGAGAGCAAAAAGAAACCAAATGTGCCAGAGTCTGGAAGTGTCTGTTACTTTCCAACACAACACTTCTACACAAGCAGAGGGCAGATACCAGCGGTGAACATGCAAGAATTGTGTTTTGGAACTGGGCAGCCGTCATGGAAGCATTGATGCAGTGTGACACAGGCAGAACATCTCAGTAGGCAGCTCTGAAGGGTGTCTACAAGAAGCACATGAAGAAAGTGTGTTTGTCAAGGGCAGAGGGTGCAGCCTGCAAAGTTCCTGTTCTCTCACTGAGTGCTCTGGTACCTGCTGTAAGTGGGTTATTCTGCTCCATATTTGAGAGAGCAATAAGCCAGTAGTAATGTAATGAAATAATAACTTTGGGGGACAGTTGAAGGTAGCTGTTGTGTAAGTGTAGAGACTGTTGTTGTCATCTCAAGCATAATACCTAAGCTTTGGTTTAAGCTCCCATCTCATGCTGTCCTTTGGCTTTGATACATAGGAGAGCTGTTGTGAAGACAAACAGGTGATGGGGAATCATGTGTGCACTAATTGTGTGGCATCTGAAAATGATTTTGTCCTTTGCAATGAGAGATTGAGATAAAAGCCCTAAAATTCTAGGGAAAGTTCTAGAGAAAATAAAGTTCACTGGAAAAACTGACACTGAATCACCGGTAGGGAAACCGGAGGTAAAACTCAGTCTTATTTCTACAGATAATCTTGAAAAAGAGATCAGCATGATAGCTGATGTGCAGTTAAAAAAGTAAAGGTAGAAACCCTTATCTAGTTGTACTGTCTGCTGCTCCCTTTGTAGAAAGGAGAAAGCTGTAAAAGGGAAAGGCTGTAAAAAGTAATATGCTTTATTCAGAGCAGAGAAGAGTAGCTGCTTTCCAGGAGGAGAATCTCCACCTTGCCAGGGAACTAACAAGAGAAATAAGAAGTAGCCTTAAGAGCTCCCAGTCTGAGGCATTGATGCTGTACTGGGCAGAATGAGAAGTTTGCAGATTTAGCATCTTATATTTTTTAAATACTGCTTGCTGAGATTTGTTAAAGATGGAATTCCTTATGTTGCTGCCATGTTCAGTGTTGTTCTGGTTTGAAGGACAGGTGTCTGCCAAAGAAGGCGGGAACCTCCCTTGAAATGGCAAATATGACCCCCTTCCCTCTGAATTATTACAACTTTGAAATTCCAGGGCTTTCAGACAAAGGTATGAGAGGAGGAATAGCGGTTCCTCAGCAGCGTGTGTGTGTATAACACGGCAAACAAACGGCAGCCCCGGCACAGCGAGGAGCAGCCGCAGAGCCCCAGGGCCGCCTTGTCCCGCTGCAGGCGCCTTCCCCTGCCGTGCAGTTCCGGGCGCAGCCAGCAGGGGCGCTGCTGGCTCCCGCCGGGCGGGGCGGGCGATGATTCCCCCGCGGCTGCAGGGGGCGCTGTGGCGCGAGCTCGGCCCCCTCTGCACACGGCACTGGCGGGCGGCCGGCGGGAGGGATGGAGAAGGGGCTTCCTTTGGAGCCCTCAGGGACAGCCGGTCCCGCTGCGCCTCCGCACGGTGACATGGACTGCAGCAGCAACCTTGGAAGCAGCTGGAACGGCAGAGGCGGGCGCACCCAGGGTGACAAATGAAATGTAAGAGAAAATTCCGCAGCCCCCGGCTAAGTGGCTGCAGCCAGCTGCACTCCTTTCCCCCACCTTGGTCACTTCTTTTGTCTCTCTTAAGTACTGGTTATTATCATCTCTTAGGCAACATATGGGAGAAAATTCCCTGAGAGAAAGGAAAAAAAAAATCCTAACTTCTAACAAGTATGCATTCCTCGTAAGTGAGTCACTAATGTGACTGAAGAGCAGCAGGGTAGTTCCCTGTCCCCCGGATTGCAGTTTACACAGTCTGCAAAGTCAAAGTAAGCAGGAGACCAAAAATTGATTATTAGCTCAAGGAAACTTTTCCTTCCCCACCTGAGAGGTGAGATCCAAGCTCAGCTTTGGAAAACAGAACTGCAGGGTGCTGCAGTGTGAAACACAGTCAGATACTTGGATAGAGGCTCTGAAGGGAAGGAGGTTTCTATTTATAATACCTTGTCCTGTGACTCACCTAGTAAAGGCATGTGTGACTGTAGCAGTAAGTTCAAATGTAACTACAGAAAAGGCTGTGTTGCAGACATGTTTCAATATCATCAGCTCTTTTGTTGCTTTCTGTGCTTTTCTCATTATTTTCTCAGTCTAGTGTTTGTGCTTCTATTTGATAGTTGACCTTTTGCGGCTACCTATAGACCCTCCCTTATCCCCTTTCATGAGCCATGAGTCAGTTTAATTGATCTTGTGCTCAGGCAAGGCTATTCCTTCTGCCCCCCATGCACTCCCCTTGGACTCTGAAACAGAACCAGCATTTGCCAGACCACTTTATGAGCTTCTTAACTCACTGACCTGGCAGTAGTCTAACAAAGCAAGATGAATTAAAAAAAAAAAAAAAAAAGGTAACTGGATAGTTGTTTATGGAAGAGCCCAGCAAGTGCCAGAGCTGGCAGAGAGACCTGCTCTTAGTGGTAGTCCTTAGTCCAGCCCTCAGGGGCATAGGGAAGTGCAGGTGAGGGTCGCAGGCTGCAGCCACTTGGGCACTTGCTGCACTCTCCATTGAGTTAACTGTGTTTCACCCTTCCAGCCACCTGCACTGCCAGTTGTCTTCTCCAAAAGTGGCCACTTTATTTAAAGGACTCGTTATTTAAAGGACCTGCAGGCTTGGAGAGCACTAAACTGGAGTCCAGCGCTGTGGCTGTACAGCACATCCGTCAGAGGTACAGGACAGAGCTTTGTCCAGCTCAGCAGAGCACCCCTGAGAGCTGAGACACGGGCAAGGGGCAGAGCCTGGAGGTTGCTGCAGGCTGAGGAAGCAGGGACTGCACCGTGGGCTGCTCTGTGCAGCCTTGCTGTGAGGACAGGAATTGTGGACACATGCTCGCTCTGCACACACAGGCGAGTCCTTTCCTACGCCCAATCTCTTCCTAAGGAAAAGGGAGCCAGATGAGCCTCAGATAAGATAATGTCATCTGCAGGTGGGTCTCTGCTGCTTTGTAGATAAGTACTCCAGCTTCCATACATGCACAATGCAACAGCTGCATGCAGGCAAAGCCCAGCCCCATTCTGAGGACAAGGACAGACAGGGGTGTCTTGTTACCCTTCAAACACAAGCCTTGAAATGGTTTCAGCTACCTCATGTGATTTAGCTGGGCCAGTGTCCTCCTGTTGCCACACTCATGAAGCAAGGGAAGAGAGGGGCTTTGGAGTTCTTGAAAAGAAGCACAGCTGGGTGAAGGATGGTCTTGCACTGCAAGAATGAATCAGTCTGCCCCACAACCATATCTCAGGAGTGCCCAGAAAGTGGGTGAGGTGGATTTCTGATGTGCTGCAAGGCAGGTACTCTCACCAGTCCTGTATTTGATTTAATGACTTTCAGGTTGTTCAAAATTACTGTTTAAAAAAAAAATAATATGCATTATGTAAATTAGTAAAACATATTTCTGAGGTTGTAATGTCCCATCTTCAAACTGAACCATGTGGCGTTTTTCTAAGATACTTTCTTAATATCAAGAAAATAATTGGTGCTTTTTGTTGTTACTGTAAGAGCATGTCCCTCCATTGATTTCTGTAGATGAGAGAAGGGATCTACAGGTGATATTGTGTACCCAGCTTTCCTGACATCTCCACAGCTTTTCCAAAGTCCATAGCTATCCCAGAGATCTTGGTCATGAGAAGATGCAGCCCCAGACCATTTGCACATCTGTACAAAAGCAAGTGGCTTTGGCAGTGGTTGGACACAGAGATTGGATACGGAGGTTTGACAGGGTTGTGGATTGGCCAGGTTGGATGGGTCTTGGAGCAACCTGGTACAGTGGAAAGTATCCCTGCATGTGACCAGGGAGTGGAATGAGATGGTGTTTAAGGACCCTTCCAACCCAAGCCATTCTGTGATTTCAAGAGCTGTACTGTGGGTAGGAGAGCAGTGTTAAAGTGGGAATGAGGCCCTTGCTGCTGGCCCTCAGTTAGGGTTCCCGGTGAAGGCAGCACATGTAACACCGGGGCTCCTTCTTCTCTCTCTGCAGGAACATGACATTGAGACAGCTTTCGGAGTGGTTCATGTCACCATGCGGGGCACACCCAAGGGGAACAGACCTGTCATCCTCACATACCATGACATTGGCCTCAACCGTAAGCCCTTGCATTGCCAGGACCCTGAAAAAGTGATTATTCGTGGTATTTGCTTTTGAGCATGGGGAGTAGCAGGCCTAGTATGGAGCTGAGATGAGGTCATTCCAAGGTGAAAAGATAAAGGTCTGCAGGGGAGAGAGCGCATGGCATGCACCTGTCCAAACCAACAGCCCTTGAAAGGTAGGGCCACGGTGGAAAGATGGAAATAGGTCCACCCAACACACCATAGTGCTCTAGCTGACTTGCTGCACTGTGTGATAGGGCATCCATTCTCTGGGTGCTGGGCAGGTGAACAAGTCCCTTCTACATGGCTGCAGCAGTAGTGTAATATTCTGGTGGGCGCAGTTGCTCTTTTGATGTCTTCCCACCCAAAATGTGCTGTTACGTTCACACAGGTACTTCTCTGTGAGTGCTTTATGTACCCAGGTGCTGCGAGGCCTTGCTTTCTGGGGCATTGCAGGCTGACTGTTGTTTGTCTGCCTGCCCTCCAGTCATGGCAATTCCATTGCTGACTCAGTGCTGCATTGCAGTTCTGAGGCACAACACATACACCATCCAGCACCCACAGCCCTGTGGGGTCTTGAGCTCCTGCAGGTGTGTGCCATGGTGTTTGGAGGGTGGCTTGCAATAAAACTTAAAGAAGTGTCTAATTTCTTCTTGTTGTTGTTTCAGACAAATCCTGTTTTAATGCATTCTTTAACTTTGAAGACATGCAAGAGATCACCCATCATTTTGCTGTGTGCCATGTGGATGCACCAGGCCAACAGGAAGGAGCCCCCCCATTCCCATCTGGGTAAGAGCTCTGCAGTGACCCATGTTTTCAGTTTGGACTGAGGTAGCACCCAGTTTAAGCCAGCTGGGACTGCCAGGCTGAGTGTAGTGGTAAGCAGGTGCCAGCAGCAGAGGACATGGCAAGATGAGGAAGCTTTCCAAGGGTCATTCAGGGAACTCTCCAATTACTAAGGCATGGGTAAAGCCCTCACTAGGGCTGAGTCTGGTACCACCTTTCTGACTTGAACATGAACCCAGCACACTGCAGTTGAGCTGGCATTTCATCTGTCCATCTTGCCACAGAAGTCTGACTGCCCAAAACACCATAGCTCTGTGTTAGACTTGCTCTGAGGGATGGGATCCACACAGTCAGCTGAAACATACAGTATCATTGCACATTAATAACCTGTGCACATGTCTATTAGATGTTCTTTGTCCCTCCTACCTTGAGGGGAACTGGAAAGTAACCTCTGAAAGGCTGTATTTGGAGGTGCTCCCTTGCTTTTCAGGTACCAGTATCCCAGTATGGATGAACTGGCTGAAATGTTACCTGCTGTTCTGACACACCTAAAGTAAGTCTCTGAAAGGAAATGGGGTGAGCCAGCTGTATACTGCTATTCCAGCACCTACTTCAGTCTCTGCTTGCCATGACTGATATGCTCACTGAGGTGTCCCCAGAGGCACAAGTATCTGCTCACCAGTGGGACCCTGTCTAGTTTGTGCTGGGGACACCGTCTGCTACATGAAGCAATTTATGGCTGCTGCATCATTACTGCATTGTTTTAAAAACAAACCATAAGTGCACAGCTGGATGCAGAGGGGAAAGGCTTTGCCTCTAGGGATGCTTCAGCTGAGCTAAGTTAGTTGTGCTGACTGTGAAATGCCTGTATTTCAGCCTGAAAAGCTTCATTGGGATTGGCCTAGGAGCTGGTGCTTATGTCCTCAGCAGGTGTGCAGTAAGTATCTCTTCACTGCTCTGACTCACGTGGACTGTCCATAAGACTGTGTGGGGCATGGGAAAAGTAACCTTCAGTAATTACAGCAGGGATGCAGGGCGCCATGGGAGAGCTACCTCCATCCATATGGTTATGTTGGAGTATTTGGGGTTACTCTGAAGTCGTGCCAGGCATGGAAACATTGTAATGTGATGCCTTTGAGTCAGCTGAGCCCATCCTGGGTGCTAGGAATAGTCAGTCTTGGATCTTCACAGAGACCAACTGCACGACTGTGTGCTGTGTCCACTGTTTGTGGCAGCAAAGAATGGATGTGGTGATGTACTCCAAACTGGTGTTGATGTGGAATGTGCTTTGTCACTGGAAGGAAGCAGATTTTGCTCCACCCTTGCACGAGAGAGCTGCTTCTATTTTGGTACCTGCTTATACATTTCTCTCTGGTGTAGTGTTAATGTGAAATCAGTGGGTATCATTTAGTACAATACAGGAATTTATCAGGAATTTGCTTGAGTCTTTCAGAGTTAGTGTTAAAAAATCCCAGAAAATCTGACATTTTCAGTAAAGTTTGCTTCATGTTATTGTATGCAGAGAGTTGCCAGTTGTTTAGGCCACCATCATTTCTTCAAGCCACTGTGCTAGGCAGCTGTCCCTCCTTACACAAAGTTCTCTGTCCCACTCCCTACAGTCAGGATTGAGCTGGGGCAGTGTGAGGCATTGGTGTTTCACTGTTCCTTGCCTTCTGTATCTTGGATAGTTTTCAGCCTTGCTAAAGAGGAGTTAGTGCAAATCAGCCTTAGTCCTCAACGAAATGCCACAAGTGTGCCCTTGCCACACTCTCTGGGCTGCGGGCAGTTCCCTGCTGAGGACAGAGATGTTTCCTTCTCTTTCACATCAATGCAGAGTGCAGGAGAGCTGCCTTGGAGCAAGCCCAGAACTCAGCAGAGGTTGGTTGCCTCTGATTTCTGAGTTTGTATTTGCAAGCAGTTCTCATAAGTGCTTTGTACCTGTGCTGCCCAGGTACAGCCCGAGGTACACTGGAGGGTTTTGGGTTGCTGGATGGAGCAGGGAAGGGTTGTCTGCAGGCGGGGGGCAGCAGGGGTGCTGTCTGGGGAGAGAGTGCCCTGTAGCTCAAGCTTTCTGTACTGCAGGGGCTTGGGGGCCTCAGCACTAACTCCCCTGCCGTTTGCCCCATTTCCACTGGGAAAACTGCTTCTTCCTTGAGGAGAATGAGATGCTCTCCAGGCATAGTAGCTTGTCGAGGTTCCTCACAGAGGTGCTGGATTGGAGCAAAGAAGGTTGCTGCTCCCTGTAACACACAGGGCCTGAGCAGGACCTGCAGCGGTGCCCCCAGCACAGGGGCACACAGGTCACCAGAAGGCACTGCTGAGTCTATAGGTGCTGTGGAGCACCTCAGTGCCACAACTAAGTCAGGTCTGGTCTTGCTGGGAGCCACTGGCTGCCTGGCACAGAGGAGCTCCCTAGTTTGTCTTGCACCTTTTGCAAGAAGCTTTCCAGCTTCTGCACCAGCTGTTGACCACTGTGTGGACTGAATCATCCTTCTGAGTGTGCCTCTGCTCTCTTCCCACAGCTCAACCACCCTGACCTGGTGGAGGGACTTGTTCTTATTAATGTTGATCCATGTGCAAAGGGGTGGATTGATTGGGCAGCATCCAAGGTGAGATTCTGCTTTCCCACACATGTGCTCTCCACAGCACCTAATGAACAGTGTGTAGAGTAAAAAAAAAAGGACAGGATACAGGATTTTTTCCATTTCTGGCAAAAACTGTACAATTTCATTTCTTGTCCCTGTTGTGTTCTAAGTCTGGGTATAGTATGGCCTCTGTCACAGGAGCATGGGTGGGCATGATCATGTGAATGAGAAATGCAGATAAACTGCTTGGATCACTCAGCTTTCCTCTGATTCCTCTGCTTGGAGGCTTAATTTGATTGATATTGAATGGATCTCTTAATTATTCTCTTATTCTGGTGCCTTGAAGTTATTTAAGGTTTCAGGTGTTTTGGAGACCTGGGTTGTGTATACACAGTTTCTTTGAAGCTTTGCATGTCCATCCCAAGCTTCAGGCATTTGCCTCTTGTATAATATGAATAGTTACTTCATTGTTTCCTTTACTCTGAGTAGCTGTTTTGCAATGTGTGATGAAACTGCATTTTTCTGTTACTCTCCTCCTCATTCATGGCCACTCTTCAGTTTTCAGGCTGGACAACCAACATAGTGGATATTGTCTTGGCACATCATTTTGGCCATGTAAGTACCCAGCAGATGTTAATGTTGCTTGTACAACTGTGCATGGAGCTATAACTTCTGTATGTGTCTGCTCCCAAATAGTTCTGGTCCATCAGATAAGGGTTGCCACAGGTAGTACCATTTTCTCTGTGTGTCAAGCTGACATTGGGGTTGGCATGCAGGGCAGTGGCATCCTCACTCCTGCCCTCACTGTCTCCAGGCTGTGCACTGGTGGTAGAATTCCTTTGTGGTGCCCAGGACCACAGAAACGAGTGGCAGAAACGAGTGGCAGCCAGTTCTCTGTAGCCAGCATGGAAGCATTTGGACTGTGGGTAGAGCACAGGCCAGCTGGGAGCTGGCAGTGGGATCTTGTATTTGTTCAGAGGTTGAACTGCTGCATTCTGCTCTTCATCTTGCCCTTCAGTTTCAGCAGAGGCAAACCAGCCCCTCCTGAAAGCTTTGAATACAGCAATGCCTTCTGCTTGGGATTAGCTGTCTCTCAGCCAACAGGCTTACTGGGCAGTGGCAGGGATAGTGCATTGTGCACACTGTATATGCCACACAGCAGATGAGTCCCTGACCTGGAGTCTTCTTGCAACAACACATCAGCACTGAAAGGAATGCTTCCTTCTCCAGCACGCTTGCTCCTGTGCACATCCTGCTCTCTTCCCACTGTCAAGCCCCTTCATTGTATGTAGTGCTTCCTTGCATTCCCTGTTCTCTCTGGCTCTCTCAGAATGCAGTTTCTTCTTATAACTGGGTGCTGGAATTGAACTTTTCCCCTGGTCACAGTCTTACAGCTTAAGTATTTTTTTACTTTATTACGTTTATTAGTATTATTATGTATTTTGCTTCTTAAACATTAAGTGTAAGTGCATTGGAGTTTTGAGGCACAGCACATACACCATTCAGCACCCACTGCCCTGTGGTCTCAGTGAGGGCTTGAGCTCCCACTGAGAAGACTTACTCCCACCGAGTAAGTGGAAGACCTGCCAAACGCAGAGTGATTTGTATCTGTGTAAGCGTTGCTGAGGCTTGGGAGTTAACTTATCCCACCTCTGGATGCTTGTACTTTGGCAGCAGCTTGTGCACTATCAGTTGTAAAAGTGTGGTCACATTACCAAAGCACAGCATGTACCAGCACATCACATAAACACTTCCTGTCTCTGGGATCCTTATGCAGTGTGGAGTTGCTGCCCTCTGTGTCACTGTTCACAGGGAATGACGTGGATGGACGCGCTTTAATGCTTTGGCATTTTTATGACTGTTGCTTCTTTATTTGTGAAAAGTATGTTACCTGTTCTTCAATTCTTCTGCTTTTGTACAGGAGGAACTGCAGGCAAATCTAGATTTGATTCAAACATACAGGCTTCATATTGCGCAGGACATTAACCAAGATAACCTTCAGCTGTTCCTCACTTCATACAACAGGTATCGGATGCCTTTTTGCCTGGCAGACAGCTCCCATAGCTTCCCAACTCAGTAGAATTGCTGCCATATGTGTTATCCTATTGGGTATTGTATCAGGGGAACCTTTATCCTAAGCCTAGTTTTCAGCTGATATCCTGAGCCAAACCTAGCCCTTGTGTATGCCCCCAGGCCCTGTCACACCTCAGTAGCTCATCTCTGGGCACACAGCAATGCCATGAGAGGATGAATCCTGTTTTCTGGGAATGACTGCTGGGGCTCTTGCTCAGGGCATAATGCATGGAGTTGCCTGGGTGCTGGAGCCAGCACTCATGGTTGGATTTTGTGTGCCCCCATGATAATCAATTTCCTCTGCAGATTTAATGGAGTACTGTTCTGTTTTGTCTTTCAGTCGTAAAGATCTAGAAATTGAGAGACCAGTTGTTGGTGTCAATGAAATGATTGCAAAAACACTCAAGTAAGTTGTCTGAATGAGTCTATCTGAGTTGCTGACTCTGCAGTCTCTTCAGCAGAAAAGATGTTGCTTCTCAGCAAGAGCTGCACCAAGCTCAAGTGCTAGGAAGACTGTCCACGACAGTCCCAGGCTGTGGTAACAGGACTGTCAGCTGCTATGGGGCAGAGGTGTCTGGAAGTCCTCTCATTAAGAATACACTGAATTTCTCCAAAAGGCAGGGTCAGAGGCACATATGTGCAACAGCAGTGCCAGTTGGCGTGCATGGAGAGGACAGTCTGGGTGCATCTGCAAGCCCTGGAGAATGATTTGGTACAACAAAATGCCAAGGTGATGGCAGGCAGGGATTTTGCTGAACCTTTTTTTGTTAACCTTTCATGAGGGTGTTGATTCACAGAGCTCAGCCTTCTCAGAAACCCCTTTGCACTTGGAGTAACACCTCTGTTTTGGCTTTTGACCAGGTGCCCTGCCTTGCTTGTTGTTGGTGACAACTCACCTGCTGTGGAAGCAGTGGTATGTATCCATGAACTCTTTCCTCTTGTGACATTAGCCCCACAAGTCACTTAGCAACCCTGCAGTGCTTTCGCCTTGCTCAGAATTAGTTACAGACAGTGGCTCTTTGTCCCAAGCTCTTTTTCAGTGCTTCAGCATGGGAGAGCCGAGGCTCAGGGGCCCTGAATGGCCCTCAGGGCAACTCCAAGGTGAGGATGGCAGAATCTGAATGAGCACCCTGCTCAACAGGTGATGCAAAGGACCCTGTTTGGGATCGTGCATCGTTCCCTGAGCTCTGCCAGGCTGCTGCCTGCAGTTTGATTCAAGTCTTGAATTGCTGTTGTTTTGCTGTTTTGCTGGGGCTACCTGGGGATTAAAACTAACTGAGTGTGACTCCAGTTCTTGTGCTGGGGAGTCAGGTAGAGCTCTCTTAGAGTACTGCATCACCAGAAAGGCAGCACTTGGGAGCTCTGTCCTCTGCAGACACCCACAGCCCACTTCCCTCCCAGCACAGCTATAAACAGGGCATGGCACAGGGTGGTGTGGTTGTGGTGGATGTTGCTCCTCCCTGTCAGGCAGGGATCATGGGGAGACCAGGGGGTTGTGAACAAAAGCAGCTGTCTAAAACTGTGGAAGAGTATAGGAGTCTCCTGAAGCAGTAACTTGAACCTAGGAGCCATGCATGGAGAACATTTTCTGGCCATGGCCTGTTGCCTTGGTCTCTTTGATCTGGAAGTCTGAAATGAAGTCTGCAAGTTTTAAGTTTTCCAGGATAGTATCCCTGAAGATTCCCATTGCTTACTGGCCACAGTACAGTACAGTATAAGGTCTTCTGCATGTTAATGTGCCTGTCTGGCTGCCCAGGTTCCCTGTCCCCTGCTGAGGTTGCTTTCCTATAGAGCCCCTGCCTATTTCCTTTTTGCAGCAGTCTTGCAGAGAAGAGGTGGTGGTGGCCTTCTTGTCTGGCCAGGGGACTGAGTGACCTCCCTTATGCTGCATTGCACAGAAATCTCCTTCCCTCCCAGTCTTGCTGTCATAGCACAGAAGGTGCTCCAGGGTTTTATAGTGCATCCCAAAACTAGGGGATGATTTCAGTTGAATTCATGACCTGTCATCACAAGGTCCCTTAGATGGAACACCTGCCATTCCTCCCTGGATCTTTTATTCATTGTTCACGTCTTACATGGTCTCTGCTTTCTTGCTTGGTCCTTCCTGGCTCCAGAGAAGCTACCATTGCTGAAGACAGCCACTGCTTCTGGTGCAGCCAGTCCACATATTATATCTGAGTCTTCGAGTTTTCTGTATGACACCGTGTCCCTCTCTCCTTTTTTCTAGGTTGAATGCAATTCCCGTCTTGACCCAACCAAAACTACCCTTCTGAAGGCAAGTGCCACTCCAGAATCATTCTGGCCAGCATAAAGACACTATTTTTGCTCAGCTCTACTTAGGTTTTTGCTTTCCATACATTTGGCTTTGAGAAGTTTTTGGACAGTCATTCAGGGCTGTGGTCTCTCCTCCATGGAGCCAGGGCTGGAGAGGGAAGAGTTTGTCAGGGAGCCCCCCAGTCCCTGCTTTATGGCCACCTTCAACTGGCAGGGAAGACCCGTGAGAGTTAGCAGAGATGCCCTGCCTCCACCCTGCTCTCTGCAGCAGCAACATCCTTTTTCCTATCTTTGTACTGGTCCTTTCCACGCTCACCTGTGGCCCTGCCATGTGCCAGACAGCAGCTGTATGGAAGTGCAAAGTGATGGGTTTGGGCAGAGTGGCCGGGGGAGAGGTGGCTGGGAAGGTGCTGGGCTTCTGGAGCATGGTCTGAGATCACTTGGTGACATGGCCTGCAGGGTTCCCTCAGCAGCAGGTCCCTGAAGGTGTATCATCTTGGTCTTGCTCTGGTTGTAGAGGTGAGGTGGTGGAAGCTGCAGTGTGGTGCTCTCAGCTCTGGTGGGTGGGTGGTGCTGGCTTGGTTTGGGGTTGTCCTCCTGGGCAGGAAGGGACAGCTCAACCTGCCTTTTGTTTCCTGCTGCAGATGGCCGACTGCGGTGGCTTGCCCCAGGTGGTTCAGGTGAGACACACCTTGGCTCTCCCGTGGCATTTGAGGGCAAAAGAGCCCTTTGTTCTGCTTGCACTAAAGCCATCCTCTCTGTTTCCACAGCCTGGCAAGCTGACTGAAGCCTTCAAGTACTTTGTGCAGGGAATGGGCTACAGTAAGTGGCAAACAGAATTTTGTGGTTTGGAGTAGGGTTGTCATGAAGGGAACTCAAGCTTTCTGGTCCATCTGAGCCCACTGGCACCTGTGTTCCTACCCTTGAGCTAGTGTGGTTGCCAGGAGATCCATCCATGCTGGAAAATCAACTAGTGTGCTGACATGCCTTAGCAAGCTAGTGTTGTTCCCTGACATGTGTTGGTAAAACCTTCTAAGTCTGTCTTTGTGCCAATCCAGAAAAATGTGTTCCCAAGAACAGCAAATCTGTGCATACCTTCCCCAAAGGGGAAGGAAGTAGCAGTGCAACCCCATGACTAGTCTGGGTATGAGAGCTCCCCCTTTCTCCTCACATGTTCCTGTTTCTCTCTGAGTCACCAGGGTTAAGCAATACTCCACAACAAACCCTCTAATAGCAGAACAGGTTCCTGGGTGACTTCTGAGGCACCCAGGGAGCCCAGAGAGAGCTGTGCTTTGCACCAGTGCATGTCCTGCCCTATGGCTTCCTCACCATGCGTGGAGGCAGAAGACATTGTCACCTGAGTGTGTCAGACTATCAGCTGCTCAGCTCCCTACCCTTGGTGTTCCTGAGGAACTGGAGGAGAAGGGCTTCTTTACTTCTTTATCTCCAAGAAGGGCTTTACTACTCAGAAACATCAGGAGAAGGGCTTCTCAGTGCACTACAGCAGCTCTTTCTTGCCTACTGGGGTCAGGAGTTCCCTTTTGTGGGTGAGCCTTCAAAAGCTGGAGTTAGGGAAGGGGTTGGTTTGTGTGACTGGCTGACCACTCAGCATGGCCACCATAAGAGCTGGGACACTTGCAGTGGTCTCCTCACAGATTTGCCAGGTCATGGTCAGGCCTTAGCAGAGCCTGTCCTTTTCCTGAGGGCTCTGCAGGTAACACAAACATGTAGGACAGTCATGTTGGCCAAAGGAACCTGATTCTGCAGAGGAAGATGCTGTGTGAGGAGGGTCCCTCAGCCTCATTGAGAGTATTTCAATTTTCATGTCTCTTGTGTTCCTGGAGTTAGTAAAATCAGCAAGTGCTGTCGTCAGAGCAAGGGGGAGCAGCATTTCAGCAGCACTTTGGGGGTCAGCTCTCTTGTCAATAGGACACGCAGCCCTGGAGAAGGACAGGCCAGGATAATTAGTAGCTGGTCCCAGAACGGAAGGAGAAAATTGAAATGAAAACTGGTCTTGCTTTCATGGGCAAGACTGTGGGACTGTGGAGTGTGGTCAGTTCTCTTGGGGAGAACACGGTAGAAGCAAACCAGCTGGGCACTGCTAGAAATACAGAAAACAGTTCTCCAACAGCTGTTCACTGCCTTCTGTACATGGGCTGAAGCAGCTGGATGTACTTCTGCTGACACTGCAGATGGAAGGTACCAGCCTTGAAGGAGACTTGCATCAGGAGTCTGATGCTGTCATCCCACAGACATGAATTTCTGTCCCATAGCTGGAGTTACGTAGTATATCCTGGGGAAACCATATTTCTCTTGACAGGTGTGGGGTGTGCAGTGGGGATTCTCAGCTAAAGGCATTGAAGAGATCTGGCCCTGATGGGTTTTTAGGTGAGCTTGGCATCTCCCTGCGATGCTTATTAGCAGCTGTTTTTACAAATCCTGGGAGCTTTCAGTGCAGTGTACGAGCTGGGAACGGAAGGAAAGGTAGCTGGGGGTCCCAGGAGTAGTGCAGCCACTGGTCACACACTGCAACTAATGGGCTCTTTCCTGTATTCATCCCTTTCCTTGTCTCGTGTTGTTTCCAGTCCCTTATGTGCAGCTCAGCCACCTAAGCACTGAGTCAGGTACCTCCAACCGTGCATCCACCTCGGCCCTGGTCTGTGTGCTGAGTGGAATTGTTCTCCGGGTGCTTTGCTCTGTCTCAGCATGTCCTGCTGTGGGTGGGCTGATGATTGTACCGTGCGTGCTGTGGGTTTCCACCTTTCATTTGTATTTTGTTGATTGTTGCATGACATCAGCTCTGTGGTTTTCTAGTGATGAGACTGACTTTCAAAAGGTCATCCGTGCCACAGCTGCCTTGGTTTGCACAGACACTGGCCGTGGCTGCACTTGCAGAGGATCAGTTACACTGCTGGCATTTTCTCACCTTGGACCTTTTGAAATTGGGCCTTAAACATCTTGCTTTAGACATGCAGAGACTTAATTTGACAGGGAAGAGTGAGTTTTCTTCCAAAGGGTACAGCTCTTTCTGTGCTTACCCTGGGACACTTACCTGAGTGACTGTGGTCTTGGCTCCAGGAGCTGCCTCCTTGTCTGAGTCCCGTATTTGTTCTCTCTTGCAGTGCCAGCAGCCAGCATGACGCGGTTGATGCGTTCCCGTAGCCACTCCTCCTCCAGCGTGGGCTCCGGCGAGAGCAGCCGCAGCCGGTCCCATGCCAGCACCCATGGGGAAGGGAGTGCTGGAACCCCAGAAGGAATTGACCTCCAGGCTGCACCTCAAACCATGGAAGTATCCTGTTAGGCAGGAGCCCCTCTTCTGGATTCAGACAGCTCCACTCACCCCACTGAACCCACTCAGAATTTAGCATTTCATCCAAAACGGCATTAACTGTTCTCTCTAACCTGTGCATGCCCATCTGAGCAGCCACCTCCTTGGTAGTCTGTACTTGACATTACTTTGATCTTTTCTGTATCCCCTTGACATCAGTCTCTTTAAAACTCGTTGACATTCCACAGTCTTTGTAAGTCCCATTACTGTACATGCTGATGCCATCTCCTGTCTGTGCTGTGTATCAATCCAGATGACAGCCGTTGTCTCCCCTCTTCATTTAAATATAATTTCTGTGGCTTTGTGAGGTTTAGAATTGCTTCCTAGTTGTGCTTCTGCTAAAGGACCTGTGTGATGCAGTTGGTATGTCACTGGTGGGACGTGGGAAAGTAAGACCACGAGGATGCGGCACTCCAGGCACTGGAGCAGGCAGTGCAGTGTGGAGCTGTACCTGGGACCCAGATCTGTGTGTCCCCAGGGCTATTTCACATGCCATGCAGAGAATAACAAATGGTCAGGAATACTGCTTTGGTCTTACTTGTGTATGTGTGTTAAGAAGGAGCAGAGTGATTTCTTACCTGAGCCTCCTGAAAAAGCAAAGCAATTAACCAGTAAACTACACTAACAAGGTGCACTATTGACCCAGTACAAGGGATTAAACTCCAGCAGCCCTGGCTCTAGACCACTTCTGCAACCCTCTGCTGACCCCGCAGAAGGGCAGGATGCAGCGACACATGGTTGCTGCTCTCCCCTGGCACAGGTGAATATTTAATATTGAGCAGGTTGTGAAATGGGAAGCAGTGCCTCTTGCCAGGTGGAGATCCCAGAATCTCCTGCACTGCCATCTTTGTATCCCACTGCCACTGTCCCAGGCAGCATCTGCACAGGATGCAGTTATATGGGGGCAGGGAACACCAGTGAGTGTGGCAGCAGAAATCACACATTCCTGTGAATCGTGTCAAAAGGATGAGCAGTGAACACCTCTGTGCAGGTAGCAGTTACTGTCTTTGTGCAATTCACAACTGTGCTACCTTTTTACACCTGGCTGGGTCACCAAGGGTGGACAGCAGATGCCTGCTGCCAGGGTCTGGTGTTAATGGGAGAAAAGGGATGAGTGGTCAGGCTGCTGCAAGTCTCAATTGATAAGCAAAAACCTTTCCTCACTGCTGAGCAGCCTTGACCTAACGGGAGCCAACTCCTCCCAGGGTCATGCTCATTTTCTGCTCCATTGCAGGTAGGGAATGGGACCGGGAGGCTCTGCCTGAGGGGGACTTTGTACCGGTTATTGAATAAAGCTATAACTGAGTTTCATTGTTATGCTATGTGCTCTTGGTGTTTTTCTTGGCACGACCTGCACCCCTGGGGTTTGGCAGTCTGAGTCTTTCCTGCTGCGTACAGCAAACATCCCCAGGACAGGGAGAGGACTGGGCACCTCTGCACCAGAATAATGTGGTTGGCGGCCCTGTGGCCCCTGGCAGGAGGCTGTCCAAGGGCATTGGAGAGCGGGCCTCTGCCAAAATGCAACCAGAAACATCCAGAATGGAAACAACAGGTTTGCAGCAGCACAGGCTACAGGGCTGCTTCTGGCTGTTGCTGCTCCCCAGTCTGTGCTGAGCCCCTGCCATGGGGACTCAAAAGAGCAAACCACGATCAGGTTCCTGCAGCTTTGGGTTATGCAGAGAAGTGACAAGAGACAGCCCGCAAAAAGAAACAGGGCTCCATCACACCCTGTGAGGAGATTCTGCCGGGTTCCACTGTGCAGATGGCTGGCGGCACCAACGCCACCCCATGTCCCAGCCATTCCCTATCGCCTACATTGTTCTGAAGGTGCTCATGGCATGGGGCTGGTACAGCAGCCACAAGGCCCATGGGGAGAAAGGTGATGATGCCTGCCGCTTCTGTAGGATGGTTGAATCCCTGCAGTGTGTAAGAGTGCATCAGGCAGCAGGGCTGAGCAGAACAGGGTCCTGGCACAGCCCAGCCAAGTGCTCTTTGCCGTGTGCCTGCCAGGCTGCTATTGCTGTGGCAAGTGCTCTGCCTGGGCCTCAGTGACTCACGGCCACAGTCACGGCTGGACAATGGATGGCTTTACATCTCACCTGGCTCACCCTCCCCAGCCTGCACAACTCGGTGGGCTTCTACTCTGGTAATGCCCCGGCAGCCCCCCAGCACCCTGAGCAGTGTGTGGGGAGATGTCCCGTGCCCTGAAAGGAGGGAGGGGGAAAAGGTGGCAGCTGGTCCCCCCCTGCCCAGGTGCGCCCAGGTTGGGGGCAGGGCTGTACCCTGTTGAAGCTGTTGACTCCCTGCCCAGAGTTCCGCGAGGGGCTCGAACTGCCCCGTCTGTGAGCCCTGCCCCATGGAAGGGCCAAGGGCGGCCTGGCCCCCACAGCACTCACTGTCCTCAGGAAGCCATCACTTCACTGAGACGAGATGGAGAGGTGAGGGTAGCTGGGACAGGGGCTGGGCCTCCCCTCACCCGACCCTCGAGGGGCTGTGGGCTGCCTGCTGACTGCCCTTTCTACTCTCAAGCAGCTCCCTCCAGTTCTCGGAGCCCACGTCCCCACCAGAGGACTCTCCCATCAGCCACGGCCCGAGGGAAGCCATCAGCTTTTACCTGAGTCTCAAGACCCCACAGGAAAGGTGCTTGTAGATAAGCAATGTAATAGTCAGCTTTCACAGTTAAGAAATAGATATTATGTGGATGTATAATACTGTAATATGTCGTCCCAGAGGCCTCCTTCCCCCCGCCCTTGTAATAGCCTTGGTAGTGAGGGCATTTGGGAGCGCTGCCTTGTTACCAGGAGGCGCAACATGACAACATGACCTGGCCTCCAGTCAAGACATAAGAAAGTAATCTCCATCAACTGATGTCAGAGATGGACTTGACTGACAAAATTTTGGGAGGCACTAAGAGTATAAAAGGCAGAGTATCCATTTTGTAGATGAGGACATGGCTGCTAGTTATGGAGACTCCCAGCACTGAAATCTTTCCTTATTCAGTCCTTTGTTGTAATTTTTGTTAAGGTTTAATAAACCTTTTAAATTTTTTAAAGTGAGGATCGTTTCTCACAAAGTGAAGAACAGCTGAGGACAGGGTCCCCACTTGGCCAGAGCTCTGTGGAGGACACCCATGCCCCAGCTCTGCCTTCTCCTACTTTCAGCCACAGTCTCTTGTTCGTGCTGGGGCCCATTGACCGGAACTTGGGACAGCCAAGACCAACGCGGACATCTGTACTCCCAGCAGCAGAGAGAGGAGAGAAATGTTCAACAAACCAAATCCTGGCCCAGGTGGAGGAACAGCCCCAGCCTATCGGACCTCCCAAGTTCAAGCACAACTGTTTTAGGGGCATGGGTGTCTGTGCAGGCCTGAGAGCAGAGCTGTGGACAATCAGAGTGTTTTCACATCCATAACTCACCACTTCGCTTGCTGGGACCAGCAGCCAGGGGGGAACCAGCCCCTGACTGTGCCCAAAGCAGCTGATTTTTACACCTTTTAATGCATAGATTGTAAATTCCACATAACAGGAGCCTGCTGAACATGCAGCAATAACCATCTGTTATCAATTAAAAGGCACCTTGTTCACAGCTGAGGTGGACCTATTGTGACTTGCCCATGGGGCCAATTTCACTGCCACAACATGGGGGGATTTGCTCCTGCCATGGCCCTTGGCCCAGCTGGAGTGAGCAGGCAGCCACAGGCTGGTGCTGGTCCTCAGCCAACTCTCTTCAGGCAAATTCATGAGCCCAATAGGTTTAAATGTGCAATTTAACATGCACAACTGCTGTTCTAGGAACAATGGGGAAAGAAATGGGTCTGTGCCAGGAACAGATAATTCAAAGAAGCAAAATGCAAATACTCAGATACAGCACTGATCCCAGCTACACTGCAAGGCTGAGGGGCCTGAACAGCAGTAGAAAGGCCTCAGAGCAGCCACACTTATGAGCCTCTGCTTTCAACAGGCTCTTATCAGCAAAGCTGGAGCTTCCTCTGTGGCTAGAAGTGGTGCAGAAGCAATTTTGCTGCTTGGCACAATCCCTCTCTGCACCCTGAGGCCAGTGCAGCAAGACTTGCCCCTAACCCAAAAGCTGCAGGTGTCCTGCTTGGACATGCTCCAATCCCTTCCTCATTTTCCTATCTGATGAGCTCAATCTTACAACCTACCATAGTTTTCTTGTTTCCTTCTCCACCCAGAGCTTTACAGACCTGCTCAGCCCCAGCCTCCAGCCCAGGTGGCCTCAGCACAGAATGGGCTGGGGTTTGTCCCAGGTCTGGTCTTGCTGCTGTCACGCTTGGGGTCCCAAGGTAACTCAGAGGAGTTTAGCATAGTTTATTTTTGCTATTGATCCATGCTGTATGAACCAACACGGCTCTTGGGTTCCTCCCTCCATCACCAATCTGCACCCAGGTTGTTGGATACATTTACACAGAAGACCACAGTCAAAAGTCTGCTGCTCTGCCATCTGTAACCTGGAGCCAGGTAAAATGGGACAGATGTGGTTGTAAAGGTTTTTTAAATCCTTCCCCACTGCCAGCAGCCTCTGAGCCCTCCAACTTCCCTGTCCGGAAAATCTCCTTGTCCCGGGCACGCGCCACTCACGCTGGGAAAGGTCTCCCAGGGCACTGCCAGCCTCTTCCCTGCCTCCTGTGGCTGAATGCTGCAGCCTCTGAACACCACGGGCACGAAGCAGATTTTACCAGACAGCTGAAGCTCAGAGTGGGTCCAACAGCTCCCAGGAACAGCAGCGCTGCAGCAGCCTGAGGAGAGCAGAGGAGGAATGCTGACATGGGGCTCCTCTCCCAGCGCAGGACAGGGACGCTGACGGCTCTGAAGTGACAGAACAAACCCCAGCAAGACCACAAGTGCCAGGGCAGGGGAGGACCCACCAGCCACCCCAGCCAGGGCAGCTGTGAAGACACAGCAGATCTTCTCCAGTGGTGTTCCAATTCCCAGGATCCTCACAGCGGAGAGGGGCTTCCCATCTGCTCCCCAGGGCTCAGGGTACCTTGCAACTGTGACTCGTGGCCACTTGGGCCAGATCAGCCACACCGTGGGCAGCAGAGCTCCCCAGGAGCCACATCACCACTTCCTCTGCAGGGACAAGTGTCACAAACTTCTCCCAGGAGAAGGGAGTAACCCAGATTCTTGCTAAAAGATCCCTTGGAGTGGATTACAGTGAAATGATACTGAAATGCTCAATGTGTATAAATACACGTACACAGGGTTGATTTTTGAACAATTTGGCTGCAAAGGAAAGCAGGTATGTAGCCATTTTATTATTTATTATCTATAGTAATATAACAACATGAAAGCATTGCAAAATTGTCGCTGAAACTGCAGGAATAAAAGAAACTCCTGAGTACCATCTTTCAAGTTTGAGATAATCAGGCATTACTTTATTCCAGACAGGATGTGCAGTAGAAATCATTCCAGCTCACCTAGTCCTTTGCTAGACTTTTCACATATTTATACATTTAAAACCCAAATAAATTCTCATTCATTGGGTTCTACATTGTACAATTCTCAGTACTCTATCTCCTAGTGGATCCCTTTACCTTTGATGCTAATTTAGTCCTCATTCTTTGGTTCTCATATCAATCTTTTTCCACATCAGATGACTCCAACCTAATGAGGGCATATTTGTTCATGTCTGTTTATCTTCTCTGTATCTTCTTGCTACTCCCAACCTGCAGATGTGGATTTTTGCTGATTGAAGCCTATCAGGCCTCACTGAGCAAAATTCAAACCCTCAGTGAGTAGTCTTTTGAAGAGAAACCTCAATTCCACCCCCCTCCCCTGACCCCCCCTTCCCCTTTGGCAAAGGCAAACAAACACATGACTAAAGTTACTTTGAAAATTGTAAAAGTTACATGATTTCCAACAAAATAAAACCACAAAAATATCACCCAAGGACACTTATAAGGGAAAAGAGAAAAAATGAGGGAAGGAGGGAGGGAGGGAGGGA